TGTGTGTGTGTGTGTGTGTGTGTGTGTGCGTGTGCGCGTGCGCGCGCGCGCGTGCGTGCGCACATCCATGTATGTGTGCATGTTTGTATGGGGGTGTAGGTGGCAGAGAGAACACCGGGATGGGGGTGAGACATCAGGGAACCTGATGGCAACCTCTGTCTTCCCCAGGAAATACAGTGCTGCACATACTCATCTTGCAGCCCAACAAAACTTTTGCCTGCCAGATGTACAACCTGCTACTGTCCTATGATGGAGGAGACCACCTGAAGTCCCTGGAGCTTGTGCCCAACAACCAGGGACTCACCCCCTTCAAGCTGGCTGGGGTGGAAGGCAACACTGTGGTGAGACGCGTGCCCTAAGGTGTCTTTAATGCTTTTCCCTTCCTACCCCATCACTAGCATGGTCAATTGGCTTGGTCCATAGGTGTTTTCTAGACCACCATCTAACACACTCACCATTCAAATCTTTGCTTGCTCCACCAGATGTTTCAACACCTGATGCAGAAACGGAAGCATATCCAGTGGTCATGTGGGCCACTAACATCTTCCCTCTATGACATCACAGAGATTGACTCCTGGGGCGAGGAGTTGTCCTTTCTGGAGCTTGTGGTTTCCTCCAAGAAGAAAGAGGTATAGCTGTCATATGGGTCCAGAGCCTTCATGTAAGAAACACATGTTGAGACATTGCTTGCTTTTCCATCTGCTGAGACACTCTGATCCCAAGATACTTCACAGCCTAACAATAGATAGGAGGAAATAGTTTCCATAAGTACAAATACCATCAACACTCATCTTCTGAGACCACTTAACCACTGCTGGGCTCTACTCTCATTTCACACATCTCATTTTAACCTTTCAGATGAAGACTCTTCTAACTTGGAATCACTTCCTCCCTCTCCCCCTCTCTCTCTCTCTCTCCCTCTCCCTCTCCTCCTCCTCCTCCTCTCTCCTCCCTCCTCCTCCTCCTTTGTTCCCTTCCTTTCTTCCATCATTTAGCCTTTTAAACATGTGCTTTGTCCCAGGCAATACAGAAGGAACCCGCAGGACAAATAAGAGGCAAAAACGCATATCTTTTTAGCCAATTTCTTCAATTTTGGACTGATGTTCTCATAAGTTGCAGTTGAGTTTGATCATGATGAGAGGGCACACTGTGCACAGGGGCAGCAAAATGGAGGTGGGGGCAATTCTGCATGCATGTGGTGAAACACATTCACAGCAAGACGCAAAGGAGAGAAGATAATGGATGAGATGACCGGACAGCTGGGAAACCAGAAAGAGGCAGATTCAAAATAAAGCAGGAAGGATTAGCTGTCAGCAGAAAATGGTTTGACCTTTGTGGGTGGAAGGAGGAAGAGTTTCCAGACATCTTGACAATCCAGGACAGGAAATTGAGGAGCCCTTATAGAGGAAATGTACCCTCCACCTGGGGCTTCTAGAAGGATTTTGTGTCACTGGGAAGAAGGAAAACAAACAAACAAACAAAAGCCTATAGATATTGGTGGAACTTGAGTTTCTGTTGACTGTTTGTTATGTGACAATTTCCTAAGAACACTTCTAGAGCCAGTAAGTATGATTCTGGAGTACTCCTGGAAACACCTAAAGTTGGAGCCGGTTTTCTTAGGAGTTCAAACCCCCACAGATGATGTAGCTCTGCAAACACACCCCTCACTCTTTGATATCAGATATTAACCACCTGCATTGTCCTGTGGCCTTTACACATCCTGTCCCAGCCACTTTTCTTTAACACCACCCGCCTTAATGCTGCTTTTATTTCTTGCAGTTGGCACTCTTAGTTCCATCTGAATAACAAGATTTTTCTATTTTACGGCAAAAATAGATTCTCTGGTCAGGGGCTCCTTCAACTTTGTGCCTGGGTTGTTGAGTATATCTAGAAACTGTCTTTCTTTCCCCCTCCACCCGCAAGGGAATGTTTTTTTCTGCCCAATCCTTTCCGCTTTACTTTGAATTAGTCTCTTCCTAGTTTTTCAGATGCTTTATCCCAATCCATGACCTTCTGTCGTTTGTGTCTTGCTGTTTACATCTTTCAGAGTACCACCCCTTCTGGCTTCAACTATCGCCACATCCTACCATCTTCCGTACTGCTTTTTGCCGGTCAAACCATATTTCTAATGCAAATTGAACCATTTCCTTGCTTGGAATTCCCATTGCTTTCTATTACATAGAGAAAAAAATAACTCTCTACTGTGACATCTACAATGCATTTGCACAGTGATCTCCGTTATTGTTTGTTTCTGTCATGCAATTTCTGCCTACTAATCTCAACAGATGTTCTCATAGTCCCAAGCATATCTTACCTATGGAAAGGGCTGTGACTTCTCAGACTTTCCTTTCCTAGTGACTGCTGCTATTTGTGGAATGGTCTTGCTTAACAGTCCCTTCAGTCACCTGGCTACTATTCATCTATTATAGCCTCAGTGTTGCTGTATGTATTGTGTTTACTTTACTGTAAAAACTTTCTCCATGACACTAATGCAAACCTAGCATATAATGGAAATTATTGCCTGGTAAAGAAATGAGTGCCTGGATGACGCCCTGCCATCTGGAATGCAGTTCAAAACTCAGCTCTGCTCCCCGTGTTGTTCATTGTTCATTGTACTCTGACAGGCTCGCCAAATTCTAGAACAGACCCCTGTGAAAGAGCTGGTGAGCCTGAAGTGGAAGAAGTATGGACAGCCTTACTTCTACCTCCTGAGTGCTCTCTACGTCTGCTACATGATCTGCTTTACCATGTGCTGTGTTTACCGTCCCCTCAAGTTCCGAGACACCAACCGAACACATTCTCGAGACAACACCATCATGGAACAGAAAACACTGCAGGTAATTCTTCTGCAAGTGGATAAAAGGGAATGGTGGTGTTGGGGTGATGGTGTTGGAGACCATAGTGATGCTCTTCAGAAAAGACACAGTCTCGGGCGGTGCTGGCACCTTGTCACTACTGTAGGAACTGGAAGAGTAATCACTTACTCCATGGATGGAGCCTCATCAGTAAGTGTTCATCCATGAAGCTACAAATTTTCTCACAAAAATACTTTTTAAATAAGAGTTTGGTGTTACCAACGTTGCACATTTGTGAAATTCCACATAATTTACCAAGGAGTTCCTCTTTATGGCCAGGTGTCTTTACGGTGGATCTCTGCTAGACACTATAGAAAGATGCTCAGAAGGGACAGCAGTTGCGTACATATTACCTCTCCAGGACCTGCCATTTTATGATGTCCTGCAGAGGTCTGGGGTGGTAAAGATGGAAAAATAAAGATGTGAAATAGATTAAAATGATGCCACGCAGAGCAAATTCTCCTTTTGTTGTAGCACAATGCATAGATTCTGATGAGTAATAGCTTTGGACATACGTGGTCAACCAGTAGAACACCATGGGGGGGGGTCATTTATGAAACCCTAAAGCTTTTGTCCTGGTGCCTTAATGTAGTTCCCCAAAGAATAAAGAAATAACAACAAAAGGAAAAAGAAAAGAAAGAACTGGGCAAGCTAAATAAGAACAGGGTGCTGAAGATTATGGTCTATACTGGTGGTTCTTAGTCAAATGACCCTTTTGCAGGGGTCACATATCAGATATCCTGGATACCAGATATTTACATTATGATTCATAACCATAAAAAAATTATACTTGCAAAGTAGCAACAAAATAATTTTATGGTTGGGGGTCACCACAAAATGAGGAACTACGTTAAAGGGTTACAGCATTAGGAAGGTTGAGAACCACTGGTCTGTACAGAGACTAGCCATAGGAAGAGTTTAACACAGGTAAGAAAGGGGGTGATTCTGTCTCAAAGAAAAGATAAATTTCCTGTAGTCAAGAAGCAAGACCTTGAATTTGTTGGGTTATATAAAAGTAGTACACTAACAGGGGCAAGAACCCCGAGCTAGGCAAAAATATTTCACCTTTCTTATTTCTAATGTTTTATGTTTTCTCTCCTTTTCTATATCTATTTATCTCTTTGTCTACATATTTACACACATACACATATGAGAGACGTGTGTGTGTGTGTGTGTGTGTGTGTGTGTGTGTGTACAGAGTATATGATGTATAAAATAAATGAGTCACATTTATGGTTTTATTATATACACATATATATATATATTATGTCTCATATATAAGATACATGTATAACTAACTTGACTTTAAAATGCTGTATTATTCAACTGTAAAAGTCATTCTGAGATAGAAGAGAGAAGACAGACAGACAGACAGACAGACAGACAGAGAGGAGATAGAGGGAGAAGGAGGAAAAGTGGGAGAGGGAGGAGGAGTGAAGGGAAGAGAGATTGTTTTATCACGGTGCACAAAGTAAATGATGATACTGCCAGAATATCAGAGCTAGATACAGGCGCTCAGAGAAATTTTCTTTTCTCGTGGCTCTATTTGGGCATAAAAGTTCTGGTCAAATACAACCAAAGAGACATTTAGGAAAAGAGAGTGACACTGATGGTAATTAAGAGGTTGAAGCAAGTGACTAAGTAATGGAAGAGAAATAGAACCATATAGAAACAGGGTAGAGAGGTTTCCTACCGTCTTTGGCCCTGTGTCCTCCGGTGTGTTCTTTCTAAGCCTTTGCCTCACACTAGCACAGAGATTACACACTGGCAACATGTACGAGGTTCCACACTACCCACACTTGGTGATGCTGAGGGATCAAGTACAACTCAGTCTCGCATGTCTTCCTCATTGGGGCAGGATGAACTGTGCATAGATGCATCTCTGTGACCCAAGTAGTCTAAATTACCTCTGAAAGATCGCCTTCCTTTGTCTCAGGACTAAAAATAGCATAATTATAACTAAGTGACCCAGCCACGCTTCTTCCTTTTCTCTTTTTCCTTCTTTCTCTCCCCCCCCCCACCATAACACTTTTACTCCTTTTCTTTTTGCTGAAGTCAGTCATTCTGGACAAAATAGAATACTTATTAAAAAGTCTTTTCTTGGCAACGGGGCAAGGAGTATGAAGGTCGAGCACATAGGAATAAGGGATTTAGATAGCAATGTACATCAGTGAATGGCCCCTATTCTTTGGTGTTAGTCTTTAAGCCCTGGCCCTGAGTTTCTAGAATGCCCTGGTTCTAAGTCAGTTAGAATAAGATGCAAATTTATCACCATTACATGGATTATTCTGCTTTCACATAGCACCAAATTCCTTGAACAATATAAAATTCTCTTTTTTCTTCTACTTGTGTATTACTTGAAAGCCCCAGAAATACAAGGGTAAAAAATGTATGCTGTCTAGACTTGAACTCAATCGCTCACCTCAGGGAACTTTTGCTTCAATAAATGAATACTTAATAATCAATAACACTTATAGCGCTGGGAGCACAGGGCTCTCATTCACGCTGGGACTGCCTCTGTGGATGGTTTGGGGGGTCTATGGAAACAACTGGATTTAAGGACCCAGTTTAAAGAACTATCCTGGCCTCATGTGTAGGATTTTATGTGAACAGTCCAGCTGGACATTTGGAATGAGGATCCTCTGTTTGTGTGGGGCAGCAGCACCACGTACATAAAAACTGAGCCATGTAAGGGAGGTGCTAACTTAGCTCCACGAAACTTTGGAGTGTCAGAGCAACCTGTGCTTTATTGTTCAGCCATAGAATTTTCAAGTAATTGAGAAGTTCAAGGTTTGGAGCTAGGCTTCTTGGATGTTAATACTAACTTAAATTAAATAGTTGGGTGGCCACTAGATCTGTGTATTGTAAGCAAGATCACATGTGACAGACTTGGGAAGCCAGTAAAAAGACAAGTCCTTGTACTGCAAACCAGACCTAAGATTTCAGAACTTAGGAATAGACTCCTGGCCACAGTCTTTTAAAGAAACTCAAATGACAAATGTTTAGGTAAGGTTGAGAATGACCGGATTCCATTCTGGAGGTTTGTTTCTAACTTTCCAGTCAGAGAGTCACTTTGATTTTTGGTGCACTATTGTTCATGAGAGCATTGACTAGTACCCATCATTACAACTAGGCATGGTTATGGTTATGTATGCCCCCTTTCCAGAACTCAAGTGGCTTGCTTGATTTTATACTCAAAGTACCAGTCTAGGCAGGAGCTATATAGCAAGGTTATCTATGTTTCTATCTGCCTGCCTGCCTGCTTGCCTGTCTGCCTATCTATCTATCTATCTATCTATCTATCTATCTATCTATCTCTTTAATCTCCTAGAAAAAAATCTGACAAGTTCTCCTTTGCTGTTGTTTTCTTTTCTTAGAAATATTTCAATACTTCATTCATGAAATAAATAATGCTAAGCACTAGTATGGGCACTAGAAATTCAAACATGGTCTGTGCAAAACACAATGTAAATAGTATTATTGCCTAAGAATTTATAGACTGATGTACATTAACCAAATTAGCATGTGAATATGTTTTATTACAAATTTCTTATCACTAAAATTTTACCCAGAGTAAGAAAAAAGTCACAGTGTTAGGATAGCATATAGTCAGAGCATGGTTCCTCTGATAGACAGAAAATGATTATAAACAATCTTGTGCCCTGAGCTTAGGTCAAAATGAAATGAGAATTTTAGGTAAGGTGAATGCATATACACAGAGCCTAAGGCAAGGAAATTCTCTTCAGTGTCTAGGAAATAAGACGGATTAAAACAGAGAACTGAGCAAAGTGCCACAGATGAGACAGATCTTTCCCAATTTGTACAGGGTGTTCCGGAACATATTTGGGGTTAATCATCATCTTCAAATTTGCAAGATGCTTGGAATTTTAAATATGAAAACAACTTGGTCAGAGTAGCCTGCTACTCTCTACATAGGTTAGGTAAGCTTCAAACTCTTGGCAGTCCCTTTTCTTAGCCTTCTGAGTGCTGTGGTTATAGCCTTGTCCAGCTGGATATAATGATAGGCATTAATAAAAATCCTCATGCCAAGTAGTATACCAGGATCCAAAACAGACTAGAGATGACTAAGAAGTGACGGAGACACCAATCAGGTGCCTATTCTAGTTCACAAGCAAGAGAAAATGGGGCATTGGCATGGCGAGTTCATACAGAGGTGGGAAGGAGGAGTTGGCGTCTGGAGATTTAACAAAGGTAAAAATCATCATTTCTTTGTGATGGACGTGGAGGGAGGAGGGAAGACAATTTTAGGAATTATTCATGGTTTCCTATTTTAAATCATCAATTTGGCACAGGCAGTGTGATGATTCCATATGCCTTTCTCTCTCATAAGTTTCAGGCAACCCCGGGCACCATAGCCCTTTGAAAACCCATCTGATCTCCAATTCTGTACAATCCCTTGTTCAAGACTTCTAATCAGCTCCCTAGGGAACAAGCATCCCAATTAAAACTGAGGAAGGAAGCAAGAGAAACAAGGAGCCTGGGAGATAAAAATAACCTCTATCAAGGACTCACACTTGATAGAGTGTATAGCCTGCCCACTCTTGTCAGAAGCTTTGGAGACCCTGATATGCTCACCTGAAATTTCTGGCAGTAAAGCTGAGGTAGGATCATGATGTTGCATTTTTAATAAGCTATCAGGTAAAGATGATGTGATTTTGTAGATCACTTTTATATGGCAAAGCTTTTTATCATTTAATATCCCTCTTACTCATAAATAAGATATGCACCATTGAAACAGTGGTGGCTACAAATCTAAGCGATATTAAACACTTTGACAAAGACATTGGGTTGGCGAAGTCAGTGTAGGTATTCGCAGACCTCAAGAGTCCATCATCTAAAAACCATGAATGATAACAATAGAAATAGGCAATTTCTCACTCCAGAGTCCTATGATATATCCTGGTCCTTTCTCATTGTAGACGCATGTGGATTGCATGAGAAATCAATGTCTCTAGGGCTTG